CAAACGAAGTATAGTCGTTTTCTATAATATTTTATTTTTAAAAACCTACAAGGGTATTTTAACTTAGGCATCCCTGTTCTATTCAAGGATTTATTATACCCTTGCAGAGGGTATTATAATTTTGGTCAAAAGTGTGCAACGCAGTGAAGGAGACATCTCCGACCATATAAAGTATATATATTCTTGATCAGGATCACCTCCTGAGTTGATATAGCCATGTCCGTCTGTCCGTCTGTCCGTCTGTCTGTCCGTCTGTCCGTCTGTCCGTCTGTCTGTTTCTACGCGAACTAGTCTCTCAGTTTTAAAGATATCGAATTCAAACTTTGCACACACCCTTCTTTCCTTTGCACGCAGTATATAAGTCGGAACGGCCGGGATCGGCCGGCTATATCCTATAGCTGCCATATAACTGATTGATCGGAAATGCCATAACTTTGGTGTTTGTCAAGTTAGGAAGTTGGGATTTTCTATGGGTTTTATATTTGGCCAATCAATCCGACATACCAAATTTCATAAGGATCGGCCGACTATATCCTATAGCTGCCATATAACTGAACGATTGGAAATGCCATAACTTTGGTGTTTTTAAAGTTAGGAAGTTGGGATTTTTTATGAGTATTAAGAATGCATCATATGAATAATTTTGGAGAATATAATTTACAGAGTATTCTGCAAGGGTATATCAACTTCGGCTCCGCCCGAAGTTAGCTTTCCTTTCTTGTTTTATTGTAATTTTGTACGTAAGCCTATTAAATATTTTGTTTCAAAAAAAGAAGTTATTGCCGAAGTTTGCTTCCTTTCTTGTCAATATACAGAAAGCTTTAAGTTTTCTGTGCAAATCATTTGCATACTGTTCAAATCTACATACATATGTATACATCGATTTTTTAACTTACAAACATTGATACCATTTCTTTTACTGATTACGTAACCTGAAATGTTAATTAAAAATCGGACAAAATGATTTCAGCAAAGAGCTCAATAATGAACAGTCAAACCAAATATTAAATAAACTTCCAAGCCAAAATAAAGAGAATGATAAGGTAGAAACGTTGCCAATTAAATGGAAGGTAGGTTTGGTAATTTACTTTGACTCAATGGCATGTTAGCACGGCAGGAATATTCAGGGTTTATATAAAAGTGTGGATGCAGACTCTCTTTGAGCATTTAAAAGAAAGGAATTGGGGAAGGATGCACTACATCCGGATGAGGGAAAGCTGGAAGTAAGAGGAGCATCCAAGTCATGGAGTAGCCGTTGTTATACGTAGACATGTGTTAATTGTTTTGTTCTGAGGAGAGCAGGTGGGAAAGGCGTCTTGTTATTTTGATGGCTCAGCGCCAATTCACCTGCCGCCCCACCAACCTCCCACCATCCAACCTCCTACCCAACCCCAACCTCGCCCTCACCCTCACCTACCCACATCTCGAAAAGACTTTTGTTTTTTGTATTGTTTTACACGCAGCTGCACTTTGTTGTTGGGTTTGGTAATTATTGTTGCTCTTATTAAGCGCGTTGTTTTAGCCGTGTGTTTATTTAGCTGTTAACAATATTTCGAGTGCATTTCACATTTACATTTTTACACACAATTGTCATCGCTTGTGACCACTTAATTCATATTTAAATTTTTGATTGTGTTTTAAATTACATTTTTTCATGGGAATTAATTTTGATTGAGCTGGCAAACATTTAAAATGGAATTAATTGCGAAAATATTTGAGAATATTAATTCATACGGAAACAATAAAGAATGGAAACTACGGAAAACCGAAGTTTATATACCCTATCAGCGTTTACACAAATTCATTCTAAAATTCCCCATATCTTGAAGTAAATCCAAATATAATATGTTACAAAAACTACGAAATTTCAATTTCTTTATTATAATTTTTGCGAATATTTTGATGGGATCCATATGATATATTCCAATTCGTCCCGATCTGACACATATATATATTGGGAATGTTTCATGCAGATCGCTGTAAAACAGACAGAAAGATCGACATGGCTAGATCGAATCTACTTTATTGAATCGGAGATGTCTCTTTTACTGCTTTGCAATCTTTTTACTAAAATTTTAGTACCTCTTGCAAGGGTATACCAATATAAACTGGAGTGGATAAGGATTATCAGTAATTATGTATTCAAATATTTATTTGAGTAACATATTATTTAGGTGTTATGTTTTATTACCTAATATTATACGATTTATTTTATAATATTTAGTTATTTGCAAAATTATGTGGTTTAATTCAATTGTTGGATATAAAAACAAATTTATATCAAAAATTTATTCAGCACACAAATACTTCCACAGTAGTTCACTATAAAAACAAGAAAGGAAAGCTAACTTCGGGCGGAGCCGAAGTTGAAATACCCTTGCAGAATATTCTGTAAATTATATTCTCCAAAATTATTCATATGATGCATTCTTAATACTCATAGAAAATCCAAACTTCCTAACTTTAAAAACACCAAAGTTATGGCATTTCCAATCGTTCAGTTATGTATATGGCAGCTATAGAATATAGTCGGCCGATCCTTATGAAATTTGGTATGTCGGATTGATTGGTCAAAAATGAAATCCACAGAAAATCCAAACTTCCTAACCTTACAACCACCAAAGTTATGGTATTTCCGATCAATCAGTTATATGGCAGCTTTAGGATATAGTCGGCCGATCCTTATGAAATTTGGTAGGTCGGATTGATTGGCCAAATATAAAACCCATAGAAAATCTCAACTTCCTAACTTTACAAACACCAAACTTATGGCATTTCCGATCGTTCAGTTATATGGCAGCTATAGGATATAGTCGGCCGATCCCGGCCGTTCCAACTTATATTCTGCGTGCACAGGAAATAAGGATGTGTGCAAAGTTTCAATTCGATATCTTTAAAACTGAGAGACTAGTTCGCGTAGAAACAGACAGACGGACAGACAGACGGACAGACAGACGGACAGACGGACATGCTTATATCAACTCAGAAGGTGATCCTGATCAAGAATATATATACTTTATAGGGTCGGAGATGTCGCCTTCACTGCGTTGCACACTTTTGACCAAAATTATAATACCCTCTGCAAGGGTATAATAATATTTAAAGAAACGCTTTAAACTGCTCCATAGCGGATTTCCGTATTGGTCCCCAATTCAATTTAACGACATCGATGACTAATTATTTTTATATTAACGAGAAGTTTTATCTCAATAATACATAAACTCATTTTACATGCAGTAAAGTCAAAACGGCGGTACAATAAAAACAAGAAAGGAAAGCTAACTTCGGGCGGAGCCGAAGTTGATATACCCTTGCAGAATACTCTGTAAATTATATTCTCCAAAATTATTCATATGATGCATTCTTAATACTCATAAAAAATCCCAACTTCCTAACTTTAAAAACACCAAAGTTATGGCATTTCCAATCGTTCAGTTATATGGCAGCTATAGGATATAGTCGGCCGATCCTTATGAAATTTGGTATGTCGGATTGATTGGCCAAATATAAAACCCATAGAAAATCCCAACTTCCTAACTTGACAAACACCAAAGTTATGGCATTTCCGATCAATCAGTTATATGGCAGCTATAGGATATAGCCGGCCGATCCCGGCCGTTCCGACTTATATACTGCGTGCAAAGGAAAGAAGGGTGTGTGCAAAGTTTGAATTCGATATCTTTAAAACTGAGAGACTAGTTCGCGTAGAAACAGACAGACGGACAGACGGACAGACAGACGGACAGACGGACAGACGGACATGGCTATATCAACTCAGGAGGTGATCCTGATCAAGAATATATATACTTTATATGGTCGGAGATGTCTCCTTCACTGCGTTGCACACTTTTGACCAAAATTATAATACCCTCTGCAAGGGTATAATAAATAAGGAGCACTAAAAACAAACTAAAGCAGACTCCTCCGGGTATTTTTAATTTACCCGCCGCTACCGACGAACATTAATTGTATTGGTACTAATTTAATTGGTCCTTTTTTGCGGTAATTACACCAGCAAGGGGCGTCAGGGGGAGGGGGGGAAATCCAGATACCTCAGGGTCAGGGGTGAAAGAGACGCATGTACATGCAATTAAGAGAGGCCGGAAAATGTAGAACCTTTGTCAACAAACAACTCAAAACAAACAAAACGGAATGGCATCCAAAAAGTGAAAATCAAATGCAACAAATTATTTGTTATTGTTGAGTGTTGTTGCACTTTGTTGATTTGTGCTGGTGTTCTTGTTGTCGTACTTGCTGGTTTCAATTAGTCAAACCGCAATGGTGAATGGCGAATGGTCAGCCAAAAAGTGCCGAGTTCGCAAAAGACAGCTGCTGTCCTTGCCCCCTCCACATCTTCAACCCATTCCCCCCTGGCCTTTTCTACATTGTGTAAATATTTGACATGGACACCAAAACACAGAGTAAAGCTGCATGTCTGTTTTTGTTGTAAGCCAAAATGCAAACGGCATTAGCAATGGCCAGTGCGTTTTGTCGAGGTGAATAATGCTAAAGTACTGTGAGAAATTTCTATTCCATCCTTCAAAAATAGAATTCGATCTTATTCGATTAAGTTAACTGGATGTAAAACCCAGACCAAACTGGCCCAAAATTAAAGCTTTCATCGAAAAAACTGAATACTATAAATTCGTTGTCATTATTTAGTTATCGTAAGTCGTATTAAGTATATAGCATCCCTCGTTTTCTTCAGTGCACTTGTTTACTGACGAATTTTCGACGTGACTAACCGCCAACATCAAATGAAAATTAAACGTGAAACCGAAACCGAAACCCAGAATACAAGCTGGCACCAAAAATCTGTTGGTCATTTGTGGCCACAGTCACTATTTGTAGCTGTTCATAAACAGAATCTCTTATCACCAGCCATCCCACATAATGGAGCAATGTCAGCGCAACAACAATGGCTAATGACATCATGAAATCGGCGGGATGCCACAGTCTTATCAGTGGGTTCAGTACAATGGGCGCAATGTCGGACTCACCTCATTCTCAATGTTTCTTATGAGAGGGGTATTCCAGCTCTTCTCACGCATCGCCAATAGTTCCTTCTGGTGTTTCTGCTGCTTGAGGTGATGTTCGTGCTCGATTTTGTTCCACTGTTCGTTGGAGAATCCCTCTTCCGACTCGGAATCCGAATCCTCGTTCGAGTAGTCCTCTTCGCCACCGTTGTTCTTAAGATTGGCATCTATTAATTGTAGTTTTGGCCTTTCAGTGCGTGTTATGGGCTTCACAGTTGTGGTCGAGGTTGTGGTTGTTGTAGTAGTTGTGGTGTGCGGTGCTTTAACTACATCTTTTTCCACATCTTGTTTAAACAGCCAGGAAAATATATTGCGTTTGCCAGCTGACTTATCGTGTGGATTGGCCACACTGGGATGTTTGTTGCTATAATGATTATTATTCGAAACTATATCCAATTCGTCCGATTGATCAACAGCATCGTAATCTTGTTCTTTCAAGTCAATGTGGGGTAATTTTTGGTTGAACAAAGAGTATCTGGGCATTTGTCGGGCCAGTTCTTCATCCACACCATCGGAATCGGAGTCATCTTCGTACTCATAATCGTCGTCCTCGTCGACTTCGTCCTCATCGCTTTCCCCATCGGAGCTACTGGAATCCACTTCCTGTCGCCAATTGGGACCTCTGGTAGTTCGAGGTTCAGCCCAAGAGGGGAAGATGCCATCCCTGTCGAAATAGCGAGTATGATTTGTGATCAAGCCGTGATGAGTGGTTGTGGGTGCCTCCGAGGTAAAGATATTTCTTGGAGTGCTGGTTCCTATGGACAAGCGGTGTTGCTGGTGTCGCAGTGAGGGAAACACCCTCTGCTCCCAACTCAGATGGTGGCGATTGTGATGACGCAAGTGGTGCTGCTGCATGGGCAACAGTGGATCGAAGGGCTTCTTGGATCCACCCATTTCAAAGTCCCCGATTGGCGGCTGATGATTCCCCTCCAATTCGGACCGCAAATGCTGCTCGTGCCGCAGATGATGATGATGTTGCTGATGGGACTCCAGTTGCTGTGCCTCCTGCAATCGCTGCAATCTTTGCTGCTGATGGGCATTTCGATGACTCGAAGTGGGAGCTACTGTGGTCATTACAGGGGCTCCCTTTAAATCACTGGTGTTGGCCCAAGTGAGGGGCATTAGTATCAGAATTAGCCAATACATTTTGAAGATCATTCGGTTTCCCCTTGAAGAAATCATTGTTTTAATAGGCGGACCCCTGGAAATACTTTGCTCTTTGTATTGTTTTTTCTCACACGCGTTTATTGTGCACTTTTCTTTGTCGTTTGTTTGAGTTTAAGTATTTTCTTTTGTCTGACGATTCGCAATTATTTATGAGTCGTTTTATTTTGACACTTGTTGACGTATTATCTTTATAAAGAAATTTAATTGTTTTTTTGTCGATAAAAGTTAATAGAAAACTAACTTTATGCTCAAAGTAGTTTGATTTCAGTGATTTTTCGATCTGAAAATCTATTCGTTGTCTATTAAAAACTCTGTGCTTAAAATGTTTTTTTATGTCTCCACTATTTTATTTTATTTTTATTTTATTATTTATTTTTTAAATTTGTTAAGTGATTATCTTTTTGTTTTCTTTTTAAATAAATTTGTTTGATTTAATGTAATGATTAAAAGACAATGCGTTGTTATTTAAATACTTTTGCCCAAACATCAAATGATCTTTCAAAATCTTTCGACATTTATTTCCAAAGTATGTTTGTTATTATTTTGTGTGAAGCTTGTCGTATTTAATTTTGTTTTCAAAAATTTACGCTTGATTACTTGAGCACTTTCCATTCACATTTTTGTTGGATTATATTCTTTAATATTTGTTGTCCTCTTTTACTTGCTCTCTGGCAATTTGTTTACCAACTTTGATTAATGGCTATTAGATTTTTGGCGTCAACCAATTACCGCGCACATAAATCCACCGCACAATCCGCGCGCGAGTTTTGCCGCGATGCCTCAGGCAAGGAAAACACACCCACCAATCCACTCACGCACATCCGAGTACATATCTCCGGAATATATGTATATATATAAAGGTGGCCTGTTTGTGCAACGATTTGTTTGTTTTGATTCCCTGGGCCAGATGGCGGAGTCGGAGTCCAATAGATGGTAGAGGCACTGCCGTTTGGCTCTGGCAAAACACCTTTTATTCAGTTCAGGTCGCGAGGCTCCACGGAGGGCCGGACAATTGCACAGTTCCCGACGTTCAGATAACGACTGACACACGGGATCTCGAATGGATTTTAGTCACGGGCAGATGCGCCCGGCGGAAATGTTGAGAGCAGTGTGGGCAGCACGTTACATTGGCAACACATGTTGCGATCCACAAGAGAGCACCGCATCTTGGAGCAACATGAGGCCAGCAACATAGGCTTCGAAAAAAAGGAAAACTGCAAGAAAATCTGAAAATCTTACAAGTCTGCCTGATCAGCCTGAAAATTCGTTAGCTTAACCAGTTTAAGGAGCAGAATTTAATTTCATTTGGACATTGTGCATGTAGCATCATAAAAAAAAATGTCAGCAATCTCCCACACAATCTTCACAAGCTGTTCTTTCTAAAAGTTGTACACTAAGAAAAAAGACGCCATAATTTTAAAAATAACCGTCTTTTATAAATAAATGTAATCATACTTTTTGCGAACTTTACTCAAAGCTTATTTATATATTTTTACTAGAGGAAATGTTTATATATTTAAATTGGCTGTAATTTGCAAGGTTTAATACATAGTGGATTTATAATCATTTTTTCCCTTCAGTGTAGCAACCATCTTCATCTGAATGCACATCAACAGCTTCAACTTTACGCCCATGCCTGGTAACTTTACTTCAGCCGCCTGAGAACTTCTTCTCAAGTTCTCTAAATCTCAAGACTGTGGAGCGTTGGCTGCTGATTTTCTGCTCTTCGTGTGGGCAGTAGCACAGGCATTACTTAACAATAATAATGAGATGGTGTTCTATTTCCACCTCCAACTAACATCTTCTGGTTCTTGTTTTCGAACCACAAAATGTGTGATTTCCAGGAACTCAGACTTTAATATCCTTAAATATCGACAAGTAGAAAGCGAGAACTACTTTTCCAACTAATTGCCATTAAACGAATTGTGTATAAAAACGAAAAAGGTTTCCACCCGTGAGTCACCAAATTTAGAGGAAGGAAACTTCTTAGCATGATCATAAAAAACTTGCCCACCCTAAGACTGGTCGATAAAAGACGAACCAAAAGGGTTGAGGGCTCGAAATGAAGACTGAAAAACCATTTATGGTCTCTACTTATTTTTCTTTCTGGAAAATTGATTTTTCTTGCTGTGCGTAAAATAGGATTTGTCAGGCGATCAATAAAAGATTTGAAAATTTCTCAATAAATTAAAAATTTTAAGATAGCTGATTATAGCGAATTATGGGTGATAGATATGGTCTTAACGCATTAGTTCTTTAACATCTTAAGTGTTTCCTGTTAATTTATGTTCTCTTTCTTTTTGATCTCCAAATGCATTCTGCTCGCTCCTCTGTTTGTCATATTTGATTTTTGTTAGCTTCAAGGCAAACAAGTTCTGTTTTCTTTCGTTTGAAGATCGTAAAGATTGTTGTATTGTGGTTTTTGGGATGAGTTTTTGTAGGTGATATGCTTGCTGCGCGCTTCCCTCATTAAAGCCAATATTATGTTTCGAATTTTTGCGCTCAATTTGAGTTTTGATTTGGTATGTCATTTTATGTGGATATCAAAAAAAATCATTGGTCATCAAAAGGAATATATTCACAAAACTTTGTATTAACAATACAATTTAAAGAAGTGTAATTAGATTTGTCGGTAAATATAATGACAAATATATAACTATATATCCAAATGGTGTGCAAAAATGAAAAACATTTCATTAATTGTGCCGATTGGGCAAAATATTATTTTTTCTTAATTGCCAAAAAAACGCTCTTAAAGAAGAACATTTTTGAAAAACCAAGCTTGTATTTTTTATGATGTTAATTATGTGGTCTTGAAAAAAAGGCATCTTAAACATATTTAATTAATATTTCAAAAATAACATTTTTCAATTGAGTCGAACTTGAAAATATTCTTTCAAATTACAAATATTTACAACAAATTAAGTTTCTAAACAGAATAAAATTATTGCTTCAAAAATTATTACTTCAAATAAGTACCTACAACAAAGCTATATAAACAAGTAATGGTTAAATAATATGTAAGTATTTTTCTAATATTGTAAACAATAAATATTTTCAGCCTCATTTAGTTGAAGGGGCGAAATCGACTTCATCCTGGAAAAGGCCTTATCCAATTATTAGATTTTCTGAAATATTCCCAGGCACCACGTAAGTCTCCGCATCCCCTTTCTTATGTAAAGCCTCTGAGCCAAGTTAAACCAACTAATTTGCAACATTCTCAACTTTTCAACAAGTTTTCAACGACGACTCCCCAAAAACTATATCTAGTCAACAGTAAGAGGCAATTTAATAATCATGAGGCAATTTACACTGCACTTCAGCCATTTTCCAACCCTTCCTTCGGAGCTAATGAAATCATTGCCAGTGCTCGATAAAGCGTTAAAAAATCATCAAGTTGCTAATTAGGTTGACTAAAATGGTTGAGCGAACGCGATACAAACTTTCTTGTGGGGCGATGGTGGGTTAAGGCATTAAAACCCACCTATCAGCAGAAAACCCCTTCCCCTTTAACCCATGTAAAACTTTTCTGGCCGAATAAAAAGCTACTTTGTATTCTTATACTTTGTAGGGTAAAAAGGTATATTGTATTCGTTGAAATGTATGTAACAAATAGAAGGACCATTTAATGTATGTTCTCTATCAGGGTTATGTAACTGCGTGCTTGAAAGGGAGTCACGTTCGAAGTGTTCTCAGTTATCATGTTTAACTTATTTCTTGATTATCTTTATTTAAGAACGACTTTTTTATAAAATGAAGTAAGAATTCTATTTAATTCGTTAAACGACTTATACGTTTCACAAAAAACGCTGTCGTTAATAAAATGTAAGTTATGCTCCAAATATGTATAAGTTATCGATTAATGTTCTATAAGCCTTACAATATATATAAATTAATTCATAAACTTACGTAAATTTTTTGTGGACAATACCGTCAACTCATGTTCTGTGGAGAAAACAATAGGCCACACTCGATGACTAAAAAAAGGGCGAAGTAAACTTACTAAAGTACGCTAAAAGTTCTCCAATTTTACTAAGGGCTTTCTTCAGCTTGAGTGTAAGACATTTATTCTTGATCTTAAAATTAATAAGTGCATTTAATATGGCTACTAAAATAATTTGAACTTCTTACAAAAAAAATTTTTCCACCCCAGTTGAGTACACTATAACCTTTTGCTTTTTTGAAAATAAGTACACATATTGTTTCTTAATATTTTTTTTTAATTGCTATAACATTAGATTTCTGAATTTCCTTAAGTTAAGTTCGAATCGTATTTGATTTAAGAATTTTAATCTTATTTTAAGAGTTTAGCCTTGAATCAATTATTTTTTTAACAACAATTGTTTTCTTGATTTAAATACAATCACCTCAAACATTCTTGATACAGAAAATTTCAAATTCTAGTAAGATCGTAATTAAAATTAGAACAGCGGTTTTAGTTTTTAAAGTGGCCTTGTCTGTCAGTAAGATTGTCGAGATCTCGGGAACTATATGAGCTAGAGAGTTGAAATTCAATTCATTTAGCATTCATATGCTGTATATTTATATAAAAAGCGATCAACACAAAAACGGGTTTTCAATCAAACCATTGCTTCCAACGTTATAAAAAAAGTAATCAAAATCAATTGTGTCAGGAATGGCAGATAAATATACCTCAAAGCCAGATGGCGCCAATAGAATTGCAAGTGCCGCCATCTGTTGGCGGAGTATTTGTCTTAAAATTTAATAACAGAGTACCGGGTATTTAAAGTCGTGAAAATAGTGTCTGTACTTTTTCTTTATTGCCTTCGAGAAAGTTTTCACAACCTTTCAGATATATTTAATTAACATGGCCGATATCCAGAATATCCTATCACCTAGTCGCAAAAATAAATATCTTTAACATGTGACCTTGAAATGCGAACAAGAAAACGATCCATCCGTCATGTACTACGAATGAGAAAACTGTCCTAAGAACTATACAAAAATGAATACAACTGCTTTAAAAATATAAATAAAATAACAGTTTTGAGTACTTGAATGTTAAAACTTCATTAGATTAAATTTAAAATGTATGCCGTTAAATACTACAAGAAATTCTTTAAGATATTTTAGTAATAGATTTCTATAAATTTTTAAGGTTTATTGTTAGAAGGAAATACAAGTTCAGATGACTTTTATTTAATAATTTTAGCAACTAATTAACCTAACTTCAACTAAGGTATATTGTTAGGAAGGTAATTAAATTTTTACTCTTCAAATAAGTAAGTAATAATACCCTACAATAACTCTACATTTGCAGTTTTTGCTTGCGACAAAATTAGCAGAAATGTAATTGCATTTTTCCAAAGATTCATTACCCCTTGAGGGTCAGAAAGTAATTAGCATTTCCTGATCGACGTAATCAATCAGGCAGCGGGGGCGTAAAGGGGGAGGGCTGCAGGTTAAAGTTCCAATAAACAATAACAAAGCAAAATACAGCAAAATCAAGAGCGATAAACAAAATGGGACCGACTGCAAGGGAAATGGGGGGAGAGCGGGGAGAAGTGGAGGGCAGCGAATGGGTGTGGCAACTTTTGGCCCAAATTGTTTTTTCCGTTGTTGCTGTGATTGTAACAGAAGAATTCCTGGCTAAGCTGCTCGGCAAACTAAAAGATACATTTTGGGGCGTGTTTCCAACAATTTTCAAGTTGATATCTTCACCAAGTGGGGCAGGGTGTGCAGGAATTCAGCTAAGGAGAGTCATGAACAAACAGGCTAAGTAAGCGTTCGGCAGGGGAATAAAATGGCCAGGCCACTAAAGGCAACTAAATTTAGGTAAAACGGTGGGGCAAGGGGCAACAAAATACTTTGTGCTGCAGTTAACTTGGTAAACTAAAATGAATTTGTAAGTTAGAGTGAATGCCTTGACAGCATCAATTTAAGGTGGCATGTTTTCAAAAGTAAGGTGCTTATTTACAATAGATGACTAGATATCCCTTACATAACATATAATTTTAAAGGAAACCCATTGTCTTAGTTTCCTACCTTCCTCTTGCCTTTCTTTCAGTCAGTCTTC